AAATTATGCCAATGATAGGACATAGAGCTAAATTTAGGCAACCTCGAAGAATGGTACCGTAACTAATGAGGTACCTAACAATATTGGTAAGAAAAAATTAATTGTACCAATATTTACTTGATTTAAACTTTACTGTTGTGTTTTGTGCTCCTTTATTAGATAAATATTTATTAAAATATTTATGATATAAAATAATTTTATATTCTTATTCTTTGAATACCTAGGTATTAATTAAGTTGCCCAATATWATTATTATTATTTTATAGTATGGCTTGGATTTTAATGCCCTAAAAAATAAATTTAAATTTCTTATTTTAAATTCCTAAATTTTCTTATTCTCATTCAAAAATACATAAAACAAATTTGTAACAATATAAGCATCTCACAGTAAGCTTTGGAAAACATAAATATCACAGACCTCAGCTATAAATATACTTATTATTTGCTTGTCTCTAAGTTTTATAGTATGGGTACAATTCATGAGTTTTAAGTTATAACTAGGGCTCGGATTTTAAAGCATAGGTATGCTTCTTTTATTATATATGAGATAAATATTAGTTTCATGTCAYCCTGGACCAATATAAAATAATTAATTTTTGTTGGGTTATTTTTAATTTTATTTTGTACTTATATACTTAATTCAATTTTAACATGCCTACTTGTTTTGTTTGTAAAGAATGCCTTTTAAGCATACAATTACTATGTAAGCATTTTACAATATGTTATCCAGATTATGATTTTTTGAATATACTTGTTACAAAAATGACTGCAATAGAACTTTTCATCTTATTAATTCATTTAAAAAACATTTAGCCACTCATAAATCTAAAAAACAGTGTTCCAAAATGAAATCACCAAGAGTTACTTGTGATGATAATTGTAGTTCTTCAATTAACAACAACTGTAGCTCTAGTACTCTTAACTTATGTAGTAATAATGGTATAGAAACATCCTACACATCTTTTGATAAAGACATCGGAAGCAATAATTGTTATATGTACAAGAAAATTATATTAGCTCATTTTTATCAAAATTATATTCAAAACCTCAGGTTCCAAGAAATGTTGTTCAAACCATTGTAGTCTGTAGATGATATGTCGCTTATTTTTATGGTATAAATCATACGTTAAGAGGACGCTACACCCGCATGTGTTGTCTCCCGGTCTCCGTCTTACAAGTGCGTAACATAGCAAAATCTGTTTAGTGCGGACAACTACTGTTCTCCCTCAATATTTATAATAGAATTTTCAAAATTTCACAACGCATAGGTAAGAACTGTAAAGTTTGAATATAATTAAAACACATAAATATTATATATCAACATCTTTATTATCGACACAATATAGAGACGTTCGCTACTTAACATCGCAACGAATACTGGTCTGGTTCAGGTTCATATAATATTATAGTGTCATATAATTATGCATGGTAGCACTCGACTGGGTCAGCCGCCGTGGTTCGCGCTACTAATGATAACCGATAATTAAATTTATCATGTACCATAAAGAATAAAGATACAACAATAACTTTATCTGTGTCATAGCGTCATTATTTTTTTGATAGCACAAACCAATAATTTTAACTTTTAAGYAATTTAATRACATAATAAAAAATAAATGTATTTTCTTAAGCTTATAACTTTAATTATATTTATTGTTATCAAAAAAAAATAACGACGCTATGCCACAGATAAAGTTCTTACCTATGCGTTGTGAAATTTTGAAAATTCTATTATAAATATTGAGGGAGAACAATTGTCCCGCGCTAAACAGATTTTGCTATGTTATGCGTTTGTAAGACGGAGACAACACATGCGGATGTGGCGTCCTCTTAAGAATTAGTGTATCTAAATAACTTTCGGATAGTGAAATTTCAAATGAATGTTTTGATCATTTTAACTCAATTTTAAAAGCTGTAGAACATCCGTTTAATGATTTAAATACAGAATATAAACGATTTAAATACATGTATTAGTACTATTCAAACAGTTGAATGTTACCAGACTAAGTATTGTGGATACAAAATAATTTAATAGCTGCTACAAAGCATCATGTCTACAACAATAATTTCTTAGGTGAGAATGAGCTAACCTATTATTACTATCGCAACAGAAACAATGTCGACAATAMAATATACTGTTTACAAAAATCAGTATGCAACTACGTCTTGTACCAAACGAATTGTCGTCACGAGCGCAACTAAAAATGTTGGTTGTAAGTGTCGTATTTTGGTTGAATTTACGAAATTTTTTTTCAGCGTACGTCAATAAGGACTGTCCGAAGATCCAATAGCAAGTGTGCTGTATCGCCGTCCCGAATTGGACAATCCTGGCGCGAAGCTTGGCCTCTACCGCCATGTTGGCTTTCAGGTCGGCCTGCAACCGGATGTTGTCCTCGCACATCCCTTCGACGCTGCGCGTGACCGGTTCTCAACCCATCGTCGCGCCACCTCCAGCTCGGACGTCAGTCGCTTGGCCACCGTCCGCAATTCCGCCTCTCCGCAGTCCAACCACGTCCGGTCAGCTTCGGCGAGAACCGTCAAGTGTTGTTTGCGCACTGTTTCAAATTCTAGATCCGTTCTCGTCGCCTGAAATACGAACAGATATTATTATTTTGTATTAAAATATATAGTTGAAGTACCCCACCTATATAGACATTATAGTGTATATATTAATTATAATGGTCGACGACTGTTCAGTAAAGTTTAACGTTTTGTTGATATATATATATTTACGGTAGGTTTCTGCGATGTATATAGCTATATTGCTATATATACATACGACTTTTCCGTACTCGCATATACATAATACATTGCAAATATTACCCTATGGATAGCATAAATATATAATGTATAGACATATATTGTTTGTAACACCGTGCCAGTTTGTATTAAACTATTTATTTTTATTTTGTTTTTTATTACGAGTATACCCGATCGTTCAGTCAGTGCAAATCGTGTGTACATACAGGTACAATATAAACATACACACGTCACAAATAATGGCGTTTTACATAAATTATGAACCCGGTGCAATATATAGATATATATTAGGTACGCATATTTTGTAAAGTGTATACTGACTCGAACCYTTTGAACCATAGAGAAAAAATAAAAATAAATAACTACAACGAAAACTCRGTATTGTCTGTCAATTTTTCATTCGCTTTTTGCATAATATAGTGTTTTATTAAAGTTTAAAATTATTCAAAAACGCGTCTGAYGCATAGATTTTGTCATTTTACAAATTTCAATCGGTGTCCATTTAACTGCCACGCTATATACACTGGATATGTCCTATCTAGAAATGATGTCTGAACTATGAGCTTGATATCCATAATATTGTAAACAGGTTTTTTATTTATTTACAGTTCACAGCCACCATACACCAAAATATACTGTTGTGAGAGTATAGGTATATCTATCACATTTTACTAAATATATTATTAAAGATCAGCGGTGGTCATTAATCTTAATAGTAGGGGAGGCGCGAATTTACGGAGTTAATTCGAAGTTAGCCTCATTGTTGAGATATAGCCGCAAGGCTGGGCAAGTTAACTGATTATTTTAACTCGTTAAGTTAAGTTAATACAGAAAAATGTAAGTTAAGTTTAAAGTTAAAAGTTAGTTTTCTTATTTATTTAACTCGTTAAAAGTTAAAAGTTAATTTGAAAAAAAAATAACTTAACTTAGTTAAAAATAAGTTAATTTTATTTTTTCATGTACAATAAATTATCATACATTTTTATCAAAGCTTAACAAATAACACAATATAATGGAAGTCTAACTATTTTCA